TTTACATCACTTCAAAAAAACTTCCAATGCCAGTTAGAATTTTCCTCTGTTCAGCCCTGAGAAGCTGGATATATAGTGCTAGTTCTTCAGGTCCAGGGATGAGTGAAAACAAAGTTCCTTTTCCCATATTTGTGTCCAAGGCTGCTTGGTGGTAGAACCTAAAGCTTTCCTGGCACTGATTTGCTATGCAATGTGACTATCCCACACTCATGCTGATAAAGGTTTCTGTATTACACCATCATGTGGTCTCTCTTATAGGCAATAAAACAGCAAGACTTCCATTTCCTTCTATGTATGTTAATAGAACCCAGATTACATAAACAGTCAGCAAATATTTTTTCTACCCACTTGAAGTTCTATGTATTAAGTCATATGTCTTGACCAATAGGTCTAACACTTCCCTCTGAAAATGCCCCCTATCGAATACAATCACGATGTAACCAGATGCTACCCTCTTAAAATAATGTCTAGATTTTTGAAAAATTGACATGTTTACACCCAGGGTTTGCAGATGCCCAGAATACTATTTTTATATATAAAGAGGTGTCTTTTCTAGGTCTTATTTTCCTAAATTGATTCCAGTCATAGCAAAGAACCTTATGGTTCCAACCCTCAAAGTGCTGTAAACACATATCTAGTCCCTCTGAAAGTTAAGGATATGTGCAACTCCTGGCTACATCCGGTCTTACACCAACACAAAGCCACATCCCTAGGTGTAATCTCTCTGCACAATGAAATATGCAGATGGAGGGTATAAATATTGGAACTCTGGGTCCACAAGTGTAATTTAATACAGATAAACATATTAAAAAACACGCACACACTCCAGAAGCATGAATACATATGAGGCTATGATTGTTGTGATGCACACTGAGCACATTATTCAGCTGTTGTGGGGGTTTTTTCCTGGTAGCCCAACTAACCTGTTCATTTTCACTCTGGATTGAAGAGAGTACTCAGTAGAGTCTAATAAACAAAATATTTATTTTTTTAAAACACCATCAGTACATAAATATCACACTTTAGAATAGAAGAATTAGCAACACCACTTGTTCCACAGAAAATGACAGTGTGTCATACAATAAAGACATAAAAATGTCTAAGGATGCTCAGAACATTACTGTTCTTAAACCTTCAGCATAAATATCACATATTTATAATTCATATAAAATATTAAAAACATTTGTATCAAAAGTCTTTGTACAGCTATAGCATTTTAGCTACCGCATGGACGCCACTTTTCCATAAAGATCACTTAACTAGTCTCCCCTTATCACAGTTATGGTAAACAGACTACAAAACTAACATCTGATCAGGTGTCCAGTCCACACTCTCAACAGATTTCGGGACTTTAGCAAGTGACACTTGCTCCAACTGGCTTTTACTTTGTAACCCTAAATACCTGGCAACCCCAGAAGCCAGACTCTGCACAGCAGCACAATGCGGAAGGCACAGCGTCAGAGAGATCCTCACTTTCTCAGACTGTCTGCGGGACGAGTACTTTAGACATATGTATTGGATTAACAAAGAACCCACTCTTGAGCAATTGCTGCTTATAATCAGGCAAAAGATCAGTTCATAATCAGGCAAAAGATTTATATAGAGAACTTTTCCCAGGACTCAGGTTCAATTATTCAGGGGCTTGCCCGAATCTGTAGCTGCTAGACAGAATCCATAACTGCATAGGCTTGGATTGATACACACATAGGAACAGGTGGATACACAGACTGTAGTAAGCAAGAGGACTGCAAGGAAGAAGTTGAATAGTGTGCAGCTGTCTTTCAGACCTCCAACAGGAAAGGGATGACCATAGCTGTTCCTCCAGGCTCGGGGTCCCCTCTCTATCACATTTTTTGCCTTGTACAGGGTCCTTTCTGTTGTAGATCCTCGTACATTTCCACTTCTCCCCTCACATCTTGCTAGATTGACTGCAACAGTCAGACAAGAGCATACAGGTTACAAAGGAAACCCTGAAAGACCTCCCCCAACTCATTCCTCTCTTGCTTTCCCT